TGAAACAAAGATCTTAATTTAGCATGACTAGAGGTTGGATAGACCAATGAGAGCTGTTGCTCCTCAATATTAAAAAGCCCTACAGAACTCTGCTGTATTTACCCCAGTTTTGAGAAAATTTAAAAGCCAGAGGACAAAGAGGACAATGAAAACCCTGACCTGGAATTGCCAAGGGCAAGCAAATGTCCTATTAACTAATCAAATTGAAGACCTAAGGAGAGGCCAGGCTCTTCTGGCTCAGCCCCTAACTAGAGAACCACAACAATTTGCACTTGTGTGGACAGAGGCAGGGGATGGATAAGAGACATTTCTGGGACTCCTTAATATGAGAGCCCAATGCGCTCTAGTTCTAAAACCTGTCAAAGTTCTAATGGGGACCTACAGTTAGACTGGGTCGAGTGGCAATAGCTAACAGAATTAAGGTAAAAAAAATTGGATGAAAATTGGAATATCTGAACAGACTGTGAAGTGGTTACATCTCCTTTACATGAATGTATTATTGGGATGGATAATGTGTCTGACTGGTATTATAAAAGAGAAGGCATATAATTTATCACCTTAAGACCAGGCTTGACTAGGCATGCTAAAATGGGAACCACTGAAACTGTCTGAGCCCACAGAAATTTGAGACAGTATATGATACCTGGTGGACAAAGAGATTACCATTCTAATGACAAATTATAAGCTAGAACACTGGTACCAATGAATTCCCTGAACAACAATGTGTAGGTAGCCTGTGACAAAAGTGGATGGCTCATCAAGACTAACAGTAGACTATTAAAGCTTGAATAAGGTGGTACCCCCATAACATCAGCAGTCCCTGGTATGACTTAAATACTAGAAAAAGAAACATATAGCAGACTGTAAGAGAGTGCTACTCAGTGACTGATCCTGCAAATGTTTTTTTCTCTGCTTCAATCTAAAAAAAAAAAAAAAAAAAAAAAAAAAAGCGCCAAGAGCAATTTGCCTTCACATGAAAGCACCCCGATTTACATTTACTATATTGCCACAAGGTGATTTCAATTCACCAGCTTACTGGTATGATGGAGTTAGAAGGGATACACTATCTTGATGATACCATGACAATATAACAAACTAAAGATAAAGGTAGGGCTGACCTAATGCAATAAGGACACCCATGACCAAAAGAAGCTGTTGATAAATCCAACAGGTCCAAGGACCTGCCCAAACTGGTGAAATTCTTAAGAATAACCTAAGCAGGTGCCACCATTTACATTCCATAGAAGAAGAAAAGTAGTTTTTGCCACCTAGCCCTAGAACTAAACAAGAAACCTAACATTTGGTTGCCATATTTGAATTCTGAAGGACACATATTCCACACCCTGTAATGGTTAGTAGCACCAATAAATACAACTAACCAGAAACGGCTGTATTTGAATGGGATCCTGAACAAAGGCAGGCCATGTCTGAACTACAAAAAACAGTCTCTCTCCCAATGTTCTTGGGTCCCTATGATCCAGTTAGACATGATTTGGGGACTGTCAGCAACACATACTTATGTAGACTAGAGCTTATGGCAAAGGCCTGGGAGTGCCACTCAGCAGCAACCATTGGGATTTTGGACCAGAAAATTTCTGGATACCATGGTAAAATGTATGCCATTTGATAGAAAATTACTAGCTTACTGTTGGACATTAACAGAGACTGACTCTATGATTGAAGGACATAAAATAACCCTGCAACCTGAAATACCCATAATGTCTTGGGTGACGGAGGAACACTCCAGTTAAGGAAGGCAGTGCCCAGAAGAGTTCTGTATAAAATAGAAATGGTTTGTACAGAAACATGCGACCAGCAGGATGCAAAGAGGTATTTATTGATTATGAGCAAGCCTCTTTTCCCCTAAGTATGACTTTGAAACCACGCAAGGAGTTGCTAAATCCCAGAATCACATGGGTGGTGCCCTATAACAGCTCTCTAATAACCAAAAAAGAGCTGCTCAGTTGTCAACTACACTTCAAAACTAAATAATAAATTTAAATTTAAAAGAGAGGGAGAGAGCATGCAAACTGTTTGGTTTCTGGATAGCAGTTCCAAGGTAAGCAGACAGCATCTTGTTTAGAAGGCTATCACTCTAGGGGCGTCTGGGTGGCTCAGTCAGTTGGGCTTCCGACTTCAGTTCAGGTCATGATCTCGCGGTTTGTGAGTTCAAGCCCCGCATCAGGCTCTGTGCTGACAGCTCGGAGCCTGGAGCCTGCTTCAGATTCTGTGTCTCCCTCTCTCTCTGCCCCTCCCCTGCTCATGCTCTGTCTCTCTCTGTCTCAAAAATAAATAAAACATTTAAAAAAAATTTTTTTTTAAAAAGAAGGCTACAACTCTAATTGAAGATGGTAATGACAAATCATATCAATGAGGTGAACTGCACGCTCTTTTCCCTTTAGAGTTCTTACTGCAATCTGCAGTTGATGTCAAAAGTAAAGGTAGTCTTGCGGGCTACCTAACTTTGTACAGATGATGAAAAGACTCTAGAATGACTCAATACTGTAAGCTATATTGAACACTTGAAACTTTAGTTATGGGGGGCCACTAAAGGGTGTTTTTAAAAAGGGGGTGAGAGTGCTATAAGAGAGTGCCTGGGCGGGGTGCCTTGGGTGGAAGGTCAGTTGAGCATCTGACTTCAGCTCAGGTCATGATCTCACAGTTCGTGGCTGACAGCTCAGGGCCTAAAGCCTGCCTCGGATTCTATGTCTCTATGTCTCTCTCTCTCTCTCTCTCTGCTTCCCCCACTCATGCTGTGCCTCTATCTCCTTCAAAAATAAATAAACATCAAACATTTAAAAAAAAAAGGGGGGGGGTGAATGGCTCAGTTGGTAATGACTCTTGATCTTGGGGTTGTGAGTTCGAGCCCCACATTGGGTATAGAGATTACATAAAAATAAAATCTTTTAAAAAAAATTAAAAAATAAAAGGGTTGAAGGGTAGGGAGGGACTCTATTTTAGCAAAATAATCCTGGCAGCAATGTGGACACAGTGAATTTGACAAGGTAAAACTCATAGCTGAGAGACCAACTCTACATGTGTTACAGTAACAGGAACCTAGGGTCTTAAGTCCAATGACAAGGGTTCTGTAATAGCCTATCCTGGAAAACATACAGAGTGTGAACTAAAGAAAAGGGAGCAAACATTCAAGAGATAATTAGCACTTGAAAATAAGTGGCAAAGGAAAATGATGAGGGAAAAAGAAGGACCAGCCAGGGTTAAACTCTGAAGAAGAGACCATTGAAGCTATTCTTTCTTGTGAAAATGGATGCCATCTTCCTTCTCTTTTTTCTTCTCACCAAAATTTGAAAAGCCCTAAGTAACCCAAGAGCTCAAAGATCTGACTGCAGCTGTGAGAATGGTAATCTAATGTCTTACTGAGATTATTACAAAACAAACAATGGTAAAATTTGGCCCTGAGGTGAAGGCATCCACAAGATTAGCCACTCCAAGTGAAGCATTAGCCAACCTACAGGTAAGATGAAATTTGGGGACAAATTAAGGATATAAAGATTTAAAGAAGCAATTCTACACAAATGTCCTGTATAACAATGAATTATGCCTTAAAAAAGAACAAAGATCATTATTTTTTTACCTGTGGTCAAGTGTGAGAGATTCCATATACTGTGACTATATTCTATATACCATATGGAAGAAAATGAGCATATGGACTGAAAACAGATCCAACTGCCTGTGTTCAAACCCAGGCTCTATCCCCTATGGCGACACCCTGTACAGATTACTAAAGCTTTCTGTAAGCGGGCTCCCTCACCTTTAAAACAGTTGCCATGCCAGTACCAACACTTCATGGGTAGTTGGTATGAGTTACACAAACAAACATGCAGCATTTTGAAAAGTGCCTCACACAAACTACAGATGCAGTAATTGTTAGCTATTAAGATTAATATATTCCCTCTGTAAGAGGATTCTAATGAATTCCAATGAACCCAAGGAATTAAAAGCACTAAGATATCCTACAGTTAAGAAACACATTTCAATGTGGTTAATCCAACTTAAGCTACCCTTTTTTGGCAGGAGATTCATAAAACCTATTTCTATCAAATTAGCAGAAGTGTTATAAGAAGAACACTTTAGAAAAGGCTGGACTAGGGCACCTGGGTAGCTCAGTTGGTTAAATGTCTGACTTTAGCTCAGGTCATGATCTCATGGTCTGTGAGTTAGAGCCCCACATTGGGCTCGCGCTGACAGTGTAGGATCTGCTTGGGTTTCTCTCTCTCCCTCTCTCTCTGTTCCTCCTCAACTCATACTCTCTCTCTCTCTCTCAAAATCAGTAAAGTTAAAAAAAAGGGGGGGAAGGGAAGAAAGAAAGAAAATGCTGGACTATGGTAATCAAGACCATCTTTTAAATGATAATACAATTTAATAGAAACTGGGAAATTTGCTGGAGGACTGTTATACTCCTGGCTAGAATTTCAGTACATTTCTAGAATAGTTCAAATCTAATAGACTGGTTGTAAGTGAATACTATTGAATTCTGAGGGTATATAACAGGGTTGAAATAGAAAATTATGTATTAAAGAATTAGTAACTATGCTTACTTAGATACTTAAGCAATTTGCAGAAAACTAAGGGATTTATATCTAACATGAAATCAGTATAATTATCCTTTGATGTTAAAATGTGTATCAGCTGGCCATACCCACAGGAAGATTACCTTTTAAGATTACAGCCTGGAGCCTAAAAACCACAGTCTACTTGAAGAAAGCTGATCTGAACCAGAGGCAAAGCAAATAAAAGAAATCATGCAATTCCTTTCTTGCAAACCCAAATGTCATGATACATTTTTAACAGATATTCATAAGGTAATTAGGTATGAATGTGGAAACCATTAAATAATTAATCAAACACATATCTGCTTTAAGAAATTGTATGAAATTGAGAATACAATGCTGACAAAATTATGAAATAAATATTTAAGAGTAATAATTTCATAAAACATTTTTATAGTATTTCTTGTTAAACAATGATGACTTCTGTACCTATGTTCTTTGTGTTCCAATAGCTGACAGTCTCTACATGTCAATCTATCACATGTTTCACAGAAAAGTTTCAACTGTTCTTGTTTATGTACAGGGCAGAAAACAGGGCGCTGACCAGATGCTCCAACAGACTCTGTAGTAAAATAAAACATATATTTTTAAACTAAACAAAAATTGTATCTCACGTTCTAAATTCTTATTAATATTTATGTCCAAAGCATATAAAGAATAAGTAGAAATGCTGAGGTAAAAGAGGAAGATTAATGGTAGATCAATCATTAAAACTGCTTCTATTCTTACCTGAGACATCTTCTTTCTTCCTGATCAAGTGATCTTTAGTGAATTTTACTCTCTGATGTGCTTCAATACATGTCTTACACAGCCACTCTCCACATTCTACACAAAAGCCAACTGCACTTGCATTGTCTTCACAACTAGTACATACCTAAAAGTGGAAATAAATACTAATCTACATCAAATTTACAAGATATAAATCCACAAAATAAAAACTGTGACTTGCTCTCAAATACACTAAATATTTTGTTATCCATTTATCTCCAATAAAATCCTTTTCCTTCCATATCAAACATTCACATGAGTAAATTTAAGTCTCAGAACACAAAAAATATATACAAGTAAAGACTTTTCATCTCATTTAATTAGGTAGAAGGGTACAGAACAGAATAAGGATCATTTATTTAACTATAGCTGAAGTACCCTAAATCACATAACTATCCGAACATATGTCTCTCATAATTTACATTTCAGTATCAAGGTAAGAATATAAAGAAATATTAAGAAGCATACCTGTTCTGATTTCTCATCAGAACTGCTAGGAGCTTCAGATGTATCTTTCACAAAATAATTATCCACAAGGTCTATCTGTCTGCATTCTTGGCGGCATACTGGGCACCGTATTACACCAACTACGACACAAGACAACAACATTAGAAAATATTCTTCAGGAAAACATAAAGAAATTGTGCATGATGCCCATATGAAAAGCATTCACGTATGTCACAGACAAGACCAAAGAAATGAATATTAAGAGCTGAGTAAAATAATCTACTGAGTTATTCCATTGGGGGAAAATGACATACTATTTAGGATGAGAAAACAAACATTAATATACAAAAAAAAAATCTAAAAGTGCTTTATTATAATATGTGTTGGCCGAATAATGGCTCCCAAAGATATCCAGATCTTAATCCTTGGAATGTGTCCTATCACTTTATACAGCAAAGGCGACTTTGTAGATATGATTAAATTAAGACTCTTGAGATGGGAATATGCTGTCCCAGAGTATTTGATGGACTCTAAATGTGATCTTATAAAAAGGAGACAGGGGCACCTGGGTGGCTCAGTCAGTTGAGTGTCTGACTTCGGCTCAGGTCATGATCTCACAGTTCATGAGTTCGAATCTTGCATCGGGCTCTGTGCTAACAGCTCAGAGTCTGGAACCTGCTATGGATTTTGTGTCTCCCTCTCTCTCTCAGAGTCTGGAACCTGCTAAGGATTTTGTGTCTCCCTCTCTCTCTCTCTTTTTTTTTTTTCCTTCTCCTTGTGCGCGTTCTCTCTCTCTCTCTCTCTCTCTCTCTCTCTCTCTCTCTCTCTCACATACACACACACACAAATGAATAAACGTTAAAAAAAATAATAAGATTAGAGTACAGACAAGTGGAAGGTAGCTAGTAATAGAAGCAGAGAACAGAGTACTGTGCTTTAGGGATGAAGCAATAAGTCAAGAAATACAAGTGGCCACTGTAAGTGGAAAAAGGCAAAGAAATGAATTTTCTCCTCCTCAGAGACTCTGCAAGGACCAGACCTGATGATACTTTGACTCCAGCAGATATTTTGACTGTAGCCCAGTAATACTGATTTCAAACTTTAGCCTCCAAAATAGTAAGAAATTAAAACATGTGTTATTTTAAGTCACCAAGTTTATGGCAATTTTGTTACAGCAGCAACAGAAATACACGATCCATCATCTTATAAATTCTGCTTGGTTCAGAACTACTTGAATTCATTCACTTTCATGTGGGAAGAAAGATCACATGTGCCTGTGCCAGTGTTCCAGCATCTATCAGAAAAAATAAACCTGCTCGGTTAACACATGGAAATTAAAGTTAAAAACTAAAAAATAGCAACACAGTCAACACAACAAACTAATTATGTGTCAGCCATAAAACTGAGGATACAGCATCAACAACACAATCCTCACTTTCAAGAAAGGGTGCAAGACTAGTATGTAATTGTTATAGCTTATAGCACACACAACTATAGGAAGCACCACACACAGACTAGGATGTAAACAAGAGTCCCCAAGAGTTGGGAGGACACAAATTACAGAACCTTATATTGTAGTTCTAATGGAAAACAGAAACAAATATAGTGTCATTCTAAAAGTAGGAGTATCAGTCTCCCAGTAGACATATACACTGTTTAAACAAATTCAAAGTTATAGATTTGAAACCAAAACATAGTTCTCGTAACACACAGTGCATACAAAGGTCCTGCTCAGAGGAAATACATAAAAACAATTTTTCAAATCCAAGAAAGAAACAGCATGGTGAAAAGAAAGGGGAAGAAAGGATATACATATTTCCACATTTAAGACAGCATAAATTACAAACCTTTCAAGAAACAGAGTATATAACAAACAGAGTATATAACTTATCTTGTACTACAGTACAAGTAACTGTAGGGGCAAAAATATGTGAGCAACTAACTTACAATAAATTAAGTTTTCACTTTAGAGGTTACACTTATACATGGTCTTGAAAAATTCATTCTGTTACTAGTGTGCAGGACAGTTTACTTTGCTGACCCTGGTTCCTCGAATCCTGTACATTCCTAAGGAAAGCCTATCTCTAATACTGGCCCTCAAATGGCTCCTGTGAGATGACCTCTAACTCTTGGAATATTCTGCCTGATAAGACTGTTTTTGTATGCCTGAGGCCATATTCAGTATGACCTCAGAGGGTGACAAGAGTCTCAGTAGGTAATGTGGGTTCCATGGAGGATCCACCCCTTTGTGACAATGCCCCAATAAAAACTCTAGACATGGGGGCTCAGGTAAGCTTTCCAGATTGGCAATATTCCTGCATATTGTCACACATAGTTACTCTAAAACTAAGCTTCTCCCACACAACTCCACTGAAAGGAGAGATGTGTAAGCTTGTACCTATTTTCTCCTGAACTTCACACCATGCACCTTTACTAAATTTAATCTATTTCCTCTTTCCCTGTAATAAAATGCAACCATGAAAATAACAGTTTTCTGAATCCTGTGAGTCCTTCCAGTAAACCATGAGGTCTGAGGGTGACCTCAAACTCAACTAGGAAAGGAAGAACAGTATGCAAACTAAGAACAGCAAGAGCAAAGTTCACAAATGGCGGTGGTGGGGGAGACTTTAAAAGAAAAATGTCCACATATACATATAGTTGAAGGATACAAATGATGAAGAGACATTCTGTTCTGAGCAAGAAAAACTCATTATTAAAGTATCTCTTATACCTGTGTATATGAATACTTTGTCCGAAGTCTGTTTTTTTGAACTCACTAAAATAATTATCAGATTCTTAAAAGTTTTACTTTAATCTGGCAAGCTAACATCACAGTTTATGACAACAAAAATTCATCTATCTCTCATCCTAAGCCTCCATTAAAATAATATGAAAGAATGTGGAAGATAAAAACAATATACAGGGGCATTTGGGTGGCTCAGTCAGTTAAGCATCTGACTCTTGATTTGGGCTTAAGTCATGAACCCAGGGTTGTGGGATAGGGCCCCGCTTTGGGCTACATGCTGACTGTGGAGTCTGCTGAAGACTCTCTCTGTCCCTCCCTCCCTCTGCCCCTCTCCCCCACTCATTCTCTCTCTCCCTAAAATAAAAAATATAGGGGCGCCTGGGTGGCTCAGTAGGTTAAGTGTCCAACTTCAGCTCATGATCTCCACAGTTCGTGGGTTCAAGCCCCAGATCAGGGTCTGTGCTGTCAGCTCAGAGTCTGGAGCTACTTCGGACTCTGTGTCCCTCTCTCTCTGCCCCTCCCCTGCTCATGCTCTGTCTTTCTCTCTCTCAAAAAATAAAAAGAAATAAACATTAAAAAAAATTTTTTAATAAAAAAAAATATATATCCAAAAAGATTAAGGGGATAGAAGTAGCAAAGCACACAAATCAATACACATGCAATTTCAAGAAATGTAGAAGCCAAAGGATATGAACACTGCAGAGGAAACCCAACCGAGAGTACACAAGGAGTGGAGAGATAAATCTCAGAAAGACTCTTATTTGCCATAAAGATTTTCAGACAAGCTTGGAATTAAGAAATTTGAGGCATGAAAGAAGTTCCAATGAGAGAGAAGGGAGTACATTCAAGTCTGCAGACATCAGCAAACCCCATTCCTAGGCTGACTACTTAGACTTGACCGATTACCCAGCAGCCAAGGTGTCTGTCTTACCACCAACACAAGAGTTGAAGGTTCTCCAGGAATCTTTCTATCTGTTTTTTTATTTATTCAATAAACTTAAAAAGTATATGAATGTTTACTTTGAACATGAGAGCCATTTTCCATTTGAGTTTATAAGTATGCCCTTGTAATTAGTATAGATCAGATGAGTGTGCTTGCTCCTAACTCAATCACTGAGTGCTGTCATGCCGAGTTTAGGTCATTATACAAAACTAAAACCCAAAATCCAAAGCCAAAGTTGCTGACCACTTTTCTGCACAGTATCCCTAGAAATGATTTCATGACTCCAAAGTTCAAGTTCTGAGAGGCCCATTCAGGCCTATTAGATTAGTTTTAAATGCCAATTTATTAAAATGTACAATGATGGGGAAGACAAAGGAGGATTCTTTTCAAAAGGCCAAACTACACAAGCCTACAAACTAGTTTATCTCCACAGTATTAGGTGGAATTTAGTTTTAATAAGTTGATTGTTGTGGACTTCCATCCGAGATGGATGACTAGACAGATATGGAAACACCACCTGAAATGGTTAAACACAGAAATAGCTAAAATATAACAAACTAAAATGTACTTTGAAAAATGTATAACTGAGTCCACAACCTAAAGGGCAAAACTTTGTAGTACCAGAAACAAAAGGGAACTCAAAGCTCAAGTGGTCAGGCATCAACAGATGCAAGTGGGACACAGGGGTTACAGTACCACTACTTTGAACAGGAAGTAAGACAATGATTAAGGGGTGAACCTGAACTCCTTCAAAAAAGCCATGGGGCAGGCTTTGAGTGCCCTCACCCTAAAATCTTTCGCAGCTCTGAAGTCACCCACAAGAAGTCAGAATACCAAATAAGCTTTATACATAAATACATAAGCAAAGTTTGTGCTATCTGCACAGTACACAGAAAGGCCAAGTCAAGAAACTAGTAAACTCATCAAGAGTAAAGGAAAGGCACAGAGCTTCCTCAGAGGGAAGCGCGGCACCCCTTCCCACATACCTGGTCCTACACATCTCCTCCTTCTGGCCATTCCTGTGTTATAACATTTTATCCTAAACTGGAAATCTATCTAGTGCTGGATGACTATGGGGAAGTTCATGATGTAACCTCCAGCCCTGCTTCATGTCTTGGGCCCAGTTTTCCTGGGACTTCAGAAACATTGAGTGGAAGGGGCAACTGTGTGACTCAGTTGGTTAAGCGTCTGACTCTTGATCTCACTCAGGTCATGATCTTGCAGTTCCTGAGTTTGGGCCTCGGATTCTGTCTCTCCCTCTCTGCCTGTCTGTCTCTCTCTCTCTCTCTCAAAATAAATAAATGAACCAAGATAGAGAAGGGAAGGGAAAAGAGGAAAGAGGAAAGAGGAAAGAGGAAAGAGGAAAGAGGAAAGAGGAAAGAGGAAAGAGGAAAGAGGAAAGAGGAAAGAGGAAAGAGGAAAGAGGAAAAGGAAAGGAAAGGAAAGGAAAG